TTTAAATTGATGATTTCCCTCATATTACTCGTTGAAAATTATTTGAATCCAATATTTGTTTCTTACACTTAACACAAAAGCTAAGGAAAATGATCTTGACGGAGCTAGTTGTTGTGGATGGCAGAACTGGAAAATGAATGTTAGCTGCCTTTTCCACTTGCATTTCTCTACTTATCTTCTCCATTCAGATTTTAACATGTGAACTTTACTAACACATCAAATTTAATAATTAATGTTTTGAAAAAACCAAACCTATCTGTGAACACGGAAAATTCCTGAAACGAAAGAGACAAGAACGACGTGCACAAACAAATATTATGTATTTGATGATTTTGGGTTACAATCTCTCTCTATTTTGATCCTCTGATTCGATCTCCGTAAGGTGTTGATTTGTGGGATGTGCGATTGATCCAAGGGCCGTCGAGACTTGATCTTGGATGAACGAGGATGAACGGATCTTCAAGGGCTTTTGGGCTTGATCTTGAAGAATGGTGATTGACGGATCTTCAAGGGCTTTTGGGCTTGATCTTGAAGAACAGTGATGAATGGATTTCCGAGGGCTTTTGGGCTTGAACTCGAAGAACAGTGACGAACGGATCTTCGAGAGCTTTTGGGCTTGAACGGATCTTCGAGGGCTTTTGGGCTTGATCTCGAAGAACGGTGTGATGAACGATGAACGCTTTCTTCAAGGGCCGTCGAGGCTTGGACTTGATGAACAGAGATGAGCGGATTCGTTGATGTTGTCAATCCAAAGGGGCCGTTGGGGCTTGATCCTTGAGGATGAACAGTTGATGAACGATGAACACTTTCTCCAAGGGGCCGTTGAGGCTTGGGCTTGAAGGTGGATGATTGTTGATCCAAGGGCCGTCGGGGCTTGATCTTGGAAGAACGATGAACGAAGAACGAAGAAGGCTTTCTTGATTCTTCGGAAACCTGGATGCTTGAAAGCTTCGGAGTTTCAGAGCTTCAGAGCTTCCGAGCTTCAAGGTGTAATGTGAATTGGTTTTTTTTAAATGAATGAAATGGGCTTGTATTTATAGAATTTTCCAATGCCTAATTTTGAATATAATATCCCAGATGAAATAAGTCATTTCTGCCAGGTGTTGACATGTGTCCTATTTGATGACTTTTCCAACTCATTTCAATTTTCGTTGAGTCACACGCTACGTGTAAAATTTATGTAATACATGAGCGTTGACACTTTGATTTATCGGTCAACATTTATTTACGAAATTTCGATGTCTACAAATGCCCCCACTTCAAGGCACGTCGTATACATGTGCTTGTCACGTGTAGGAGATGCGTTTTGAAGTCCCTTACTGTAGATGTCGATCCAAGGGCCGTCGAGGCTTGATCTTGAATTGGGCTGGAGATTTCTTCAAGGGCCGTTGAGGCTTGATCTTGAATTGGGCTTGAGATTTCTTCAAGGGCCGTTGAGGCTTGTTCTTGGATTTTTTTTGTTTGAAATTTCTTCAAGGGCCGTCGAGGCTTGATCTTGAAGGTTGAAATTGGACCACAAGGAGCTTCATGTGGTAGATGATCTTTGGCTTTGGTAGTGGGTGAATCGGCACATATTTTGTTGCGCTTGTTGACTTTCCACAGCTTTGATCTTGAACTGGGTTGGAGGATTTTCTGGATTCCTCCAATTGTTGATTTTCCACAGCTTATTCTTGAACTAGGTTTTGATTCAAGGGTGGTAGACACTTAATCTTGAATCAGACTTGTGATTTCCTTAAGGGCCGTCGAGGCTTGATCTTGAATTTGGTTGGAAACTTCTTCAAGGGCCGTTGAGGCTTGATTCTTGAAGGTTGACTTGAACACATGGCAAGCAGGCACGAGGTGAAGGTGACGACTTGTTGCTTTGCTCAATCTTTCCAATTCACACCTGAGCAGTTTGGTCAACGGTATGATCTTCAAGATTGATGGATTCTTCTTCCAGTTGGTGACTTGATCTTTAAGGATTCGATTCAAGGTTGGTGAATCGGCACGTGCAGCCCACAACGCCTAGTAAGCCGACCCAAGAATTTGAGGGTCAAAACGAATTCACCGTCAGAGTGATTGCAACTTTGATGATATGAGATACTCTTGCTTTTGAAGAAGTAGCGGATGAATCAGCACGTGCTTGGTTGCACTTGTCTCTACATGCTTCAAGGTATCATCTTCATTTCCTTTATCTGTTCCTCAGGCAGAGGTGGCATCTTCTCGAGTTCTTCGTCTCAGACTTTTTCTGCTGAGTTGACTGTTCATGTTGCATTCTTCTCTGCTTGTTTCTTCAGGCAGATATGGCAGCTTCTCGAGTTCCTCAGTTCGGACTCCTTCTGCTGAGTTGACTGTGCAGACCGCATTCTTCTCTGCTTGTTCCTTCCGCACGTTGTCTCCACATGCTTCAAGGTATCTTTTTCACTTGCCTTATCTGTTCTCCGGGCAGATGTGGCAACTTCTTTGAAAGTACAGCAGCAATGGGAGGGGGGGTACTTGAGAGCAGTGCCAGGTAGGCAATCATGGAAGGGTTTCAAGCAGTCGGTTCCTTACCCGAGTTTGAGTGGAGGTTCCGGCATATTGTTTTCTTTATCCTTGTCTTTGTAAGTAAGAACAAGGACAAAGGAAAGGACAGGGAGAACGCATGATATGAGATACTCTTGCTTTCTACCCTAGTGATATGAGATACTTTTGCTTTGGTGTCATTTGTTTGCCGAGGTACCCCAAGGAATAAGGAACACTGAATGACTCGAAAGGCTTCGTTGAGAAAGCATATTTGGAGATGAAGAAATACTCTGTATGTTTGCCTTGCTATGGAAGGTGAATGTGGACAGTTATAGGAGGTCCCTTAATACCTGTAGAGGTACTATTCTTTCACTTGTGTCGGCAACTAACGCGTGATTGAACAGTAAACTTTCACGTGCTTTCTCCTTCACTGAAAATCTTCGGCAAATTGCCCGCGATTTGCGCAAAGTTGAGTGCGCATATGACAGGTGATGACGCGGCTGAAAATGACTGGCGCCTCTTCGATATCTGGGATTGGCGCTTCGACAAATTACCCGTGATTTCCGCAAAGCTGAGTTTGCGTGTGATGGGTGCGACGCGTCTGGAAAAGCAAGATGCTTCTCCGATTTCTGAGCTTGCCTCTTCGATTTTTGAATGGCCTCTTTAAATTCTGAGCGCGCCTCTTCGAGCTCTGAAATCCCGTCGAGCGCTGATTTTTATAGAGGCATGCAGTTCGTTTCAAAGCACACTTGAATTTTCACTTGTGAAAACTCCCTTCTTGCACTTCTAAGATCTTGATTTGTCCGATCTCTTATTTCTTCAACACTTTGAAAATGTCTGGACCCTCCGACCGTCGTTTTGACTTGAATCTTGGTGAAGAGGCAGTCCCGCCTTCTCCAGACAACATATGGCGCCCATCCTTCATATCCCCTACTGGTCCTCTTACCGTTGGGGATTCGGTGGTGAAGAATGATATGACCGCTGCGGTGGTGGCCCGGAACCTTGTCACTCCCAGAGATAACAGATTACTTTCCAAACGGTCTGATGAGTTGGCTGTTAAGGATTCTCTGGCGCTTAGTGTGCAGTGTGCAGGTTCTGTGTCTAATATGGCCCAACGCCTATTTGCTCGAACCCGTCAAGTTGAATCCTTGGCGGCTGAAGTGATGAGTCTTAAACAGGAGATTAGAGGGCTCAAGCAGGAGAATAAACAGTTGCATAAGCTCGCACATAGCTATGCGACAAACATGAAGAGGAAGATTGACCAGATGCAGGAATCTGATGGTCAGATTTTACTTGATCATCAGCGGTTTGTGGGTTTGTTCCAGCAGCATTTGCCTTCGTCTTCTGGGACTCTGCCGACCGCTGAGGCTTCAAACAGTCAACCTCCGACGCCTCCTCTTCCTGGAGCTCCGCCGAGTTGTGAGGCGCCACCTGATCGTTCTTGAAGATCCCCTCTTGTAAATTTGATTTGATTTGATTTTTTTTTTTTTTTTTTTTTTTTTTTTAAGGTATGTATAATGCAAATTTATGTAAAATTTCCAGAAAAATAAATAAAATGGACTTTATTTCTCTCAACACATATTTTTTTATTTTTATTTTTATTTTTATGCTATATACATACATATATTATGTACATACACACCACATTATCATAACTTCATTTTATTTATTTATTTTATTATTATTATTATTATTTTTTATTTTAATTATATATATATATATTATTTTTTCTTTCTTTTCTCTTTTTTTTTTTTTCTGCACATGGTGCCAGACGCACCATTATTCCTTGTTTTTATATATATATATATATATATATATATATATTTTTTTTTTTTTTTTTTTTTTTTTTTGCACATGGTGCCAGCACCATCAGAAACTTTTTATCTGTCATGGGCTGTTCCCCATCTTTGATCCACCATCCTATTTTCTATTATTATTATTATTTTTATAAATTTAGGTGATGGGTAGAGGATGAGAAGACAAAGCCGACGGGTCCTGCAAGGAGGAGGAGAACGGCGCTGCGGTGGAGAGAGTCGATGCCGAGAGCGCAGAATGTAAGGCGTCGAGCTTCATGATCGGCTAGTCGTTTGACGGCGATCATTGAAGTTCTTCGTCGCTTGTTCGACGCTTCATGATCGGCTAGTCGTTTGACGGCGATCATTGAAGTTCTTCGTCGCTTGTGATCATGGTGGCCAGAATGCACTGCCGTTGCTGTTTTCCTGCGAAGATGAGGACGCACTGTTGCCTAAGGACGAGCCGACATGTTGCTGTGCCTTGTAGAGGAAAAGATGAAGTAGCTGCAGTCCCGCAACCCTCTCGCTTCGTTCATATTCGCCGTCAACCGTTTCACGCACACCATGCATGTGTCGCAGTCGCCGCCACATTTTACCAGCAGAAGTGGAGGAGGATGTAGAGCTGGAGGAAGAGAGTGAGGAGAAGTTGGCGGGGAATGAGGTGAAGGCGCTGCCGAGGAAGGTCGGGAGTAGACAATCAGTGAGGTGACGAATATGAAGGTGTCACGGATGCGCTGGGCGAGGAGGAGAATGACGTAGCTGTGTCGCAGTGGACGACGAAAGCAGACAAGAGAAGCTAGCAGATATGGTGCCGAAGAGTCCTGCTCTTCCCGTCCTTCCAATCCGGTGTACATAATCTTCCATGCTCTTTGGAAGATCTAAATTGATAACATGTGCAACTCCTGAGACATCCAAACCGCGAGATGCAACATCAGTGGCAACCAAAATACTGGTAGTGCCTTTTCTAAAATCACGTAGAGCAGCTTCTCTTTCAGTTTGTGTACGACCACCATGAAGAGCAACTGCATGCAACCCTTGTGCTACCAAAGCTTCAGCAACTTCGTCACATCTCGTCTTCCTTTCAACAAACACAATCGTTAAGGGAAAGGGATGGCCAGTTCCTTCAACCCGAGATGCCTCTGCTACGAGCAAAGCCAATAGATGATCAGTCTTCTCACTCTCAGGAACCTTCTCCTTTGCTCAGATGTGTACAGTGGCTCAAAATTCTTGTTCAATCTCAACAAGATCTATGCATGTCTAAGATCGCAGTAACTTTTTCCACTCCAAAATCCCAAGATCTTAAGATCAAAAGAACCGATCTTTATCGCCAATTCCTCAAATCCAGGAAACCCAATTGAAAATAAACCCAAATCGATCCAATTCTCCAGCAGATCTCAGAAATTAGACAAATTGGAAAAAAACACAGATGAAAAGTTCACTGCTCACAGTCAAAGCAAGGCACATAAGTCACCGTACTTCCCGTATCCACAATCAGCGCGAATTGCTGCGGCGGCGTCCCAATCCACAGCCGCGTCGTGTAGTACCCGTTGGCGAGGAGATCGTCATAGAGCCTCATGTGGGCGTTGGGCACCGATCTCTGGAGCCGCCGGCCGTCGAAGGGTCGCCGGTGGAGCCCCGATGCAATTGTGGAAGTTGCGGTGAGGGCCGATCAATCCATGGCTGCTGAGACTGGCGGTCTATGTGCGAGTGTGTGGCTGCTGCTCTCAGCAATCCCTACATACAGAGTCGATGAGAGAGAAAGTGAGAGGAGAGAGAGAAAGAACGGTGAGGAGGATTGGGAAGGCCAGCTGAAAGAGAGACTTGGTCTCGGCGACCATGTCCGAAACAGCAAGTGAACTTGTGAAATGTGGCAGCGGAGGCGGCTTTGGAGCTTCTGGTGAGGATAAGAAGTCTAGGAACAAGTGGGGCTGGAGTTGTGTGCTCTGCTGGGCTGCACTGTGGGCCGAGGAGAAATGATCCATTTGGGCTTCGATAAGGGCCTGGGCTGCACAGGCTTTGGGCTTCACAGGCACAATCAAGTGCCCTCTTGCTGAATTTTTTTTTTCTTTTTTTTTGTAAATACATAAAACATATATCTCCTTTTTTTTTTGGTACAAAGAAATTGTAATAGCATTAAAACTTTTAATAAAATTTTTATTCCTTATTTTGGTGTGACTGAACTCAAATTTTGAATATTCGAGCTGCCTACGTACCCCTCCAAAGAAGAGATCAAGTCGTAACGTAGTTCGAATACATACATATTTTTGGTATTTTCTTTTTTGTGCCGTTTTGCAGTTTTAACTCATGCAGGCAAGGAGCGTTGGTGTCGTTTGCAGTTTCAACTCGTGCAGACAAGGAGCATCTGGTGCCGTGTTGCAGTTTCAGCTCGTGCAGGCCAGGAGCATCTGGTGCCGTGTTGCAGTTTCAGCTCGTGCAGGCCAGGAGCGTCGTGCCATGCAGTTTAGGCTCGTGCAGGCCAGGAGCTTTGGTTTGTGCAGTTTAGGCTCGTGCGAACAAGGAGCATTGGTTCGTGCAGTTTAGGCTCGTGCGAACAAGGAGCATTGGTTCGTCAAGCGATCTGAGAGAGTCGTTCCTCGCATTCTTCATAGCAAGGAGCCTTGACTGAGTAGTTGAAGAAATCTTCTGGGAAGATGTCACGCATCGTGATGGGGATGGATGATCTTCGTGTCAAAGTTTCATTATCTCCAACACTTTCACATTGTTCTGGAGGTGAACATGAGCTGTTTTGCCCCCTTTCCCATTGGTGAGCTTGTGGAGAAGACGTATGCTTCTTGTGCGATTTCTTAGGAGTGACTTGAGTCCATCCTTCAACTTCACTCGGCTTGACTGGCATGTTTTTGGAGCATGCCCCCAGCGATTGAGGTGAAGATTTTGAGTTGACAGAGCCGGAAGTGACGTCTTCTTCCAGGATTTCGTCTTCTTTGTCTTCTTGGGCCTTCTCTTCAGTGCGGTCCTCTTGGGTTTGTTGCCGTGAAGATTGGCCGGTGTAGATGATGGTGCGCCTCCTTACCTTCAGTGGTCCTTTTGTGTCGACTTCCAAAGTTGCTTGGCGCTTCATCCTTGAAGGAATCAAGCTTTGAACATCGTCTTTTCCTGCTAGACTGTCGAGCTTCTCTCCCTTTGGCGTTGTTTTCCTGTTTCTAGAAGGCTTCTTAGTTTCTTCAAGTCTGTCCAAAGCCGACCGTTGCGGAGGAGATCTAGCTGTGCCGCTTTGTTTCTTGGGTTTTGATAACCTTTCAAAGACTGATATTTGCGGTGTTGGCGTCTCAAGCCTTTTGAAGACGGAAGTTTGGTCTCGACCACTGATGCGATCAAGTGCTGCAATTCTAGGTTTTGAATAATTCAGCCTTTCGAAGACTGAAGTTCGAGGGGCGGGTTTAGGCTCCTCTTTTGGCCTTATGGCTTGTGGTCTTGGCTTCCTCGTTTTTTTGTAGGTCACCGATGTCCACCCTTTCTTATCACCAGTAGATGCATCTTGGTTGCTTGCCCCTGGCGATGGTTGTGTAGGAGGTGCCATGTGACTTGAACATTGACGGGAATAATCATGCATGCTTCGGAGATGCACAGGATCGAGTGATTCAAACACGATAGTAGTAGTGTGTGCCGCCACCGTGTCTTCGAGGTCAAGCTCGATTTCCCCTTGCTGTGCTAGCTTCAGGATGAGATCTTTCAGTACGAAGCACTTTTCCGTTGGATGACTGATGAAGCGGTGAAATTTACAATATCTTGGGTTGTCGGTACGATTCATCTCTTCCGGCCGTCTGCACTCGGGCAAACTGATCACCTTCTTGTCCAACAGGTCATCCAGCATGGCAACTACATCAGAGTTGGGGAATGGATAAATCTTCTCCTCAAGCTCCTTCAAAGTGCGTCTACGCATCTCTTGATCACGAAAAGCTTCGGTTTGAATCGCCTTGCCTCGTGTGGAGATTTTGACGGGAGCTGTGTTGACCGTCATCGCTTCCTTGGTGGGTTTCCATGCGGCCTTTTCCACCTTTGTCCCAAGAACTTTGTCGTTCTTGTAGTCGGCGATCGGTTCTTTCTTCCCATGATGGGCGATGCTCAACTCCATGTCATGGGCGCGAGTAGCCAATTTCTCGAAGGTCCGTGGTTTAATGCCTTGAAGGATGTATTGCAAACCCCATTGCATGCCTTGGATGCACATCTCGATTGAAGAAATCTCGGAGAGTTTGTCCTTACAGTCGAGGCTTAGATTACGCCATCGGTTGATGTAGTCCATGACTGGTTCTTCCTTCCATTGCTTCGTGCTCGTCAGCTCTAGCATGCTCACAGTGCGGCGGGTACTATAGAAGCGGTTGAGGAATTCCTGCTCTAACTGCTCCCAGCTGTTTATGGACTCAGGCTCTAGGTCTGTGTACCACTCAAAGGCGTTTCCTTTCAGCGAGCGCACAAACTGCTTGGCGAGGTAATCCCCTTCGGTTCCTGCGTTGTTGCAAGTTTCAACGAAGTGGGCAACGTGCTGTTTCGGGTTTCCCTTTCCATCAAATTGCATGAACTTTGGTGGTTGATAACCCCTCGGCATCCTTAAGGCGTCGATCTTCTTTGAATACGGCTTTGAGTACAACCCGGAGGTATTTGAGCTCCCTTCGTACTGTGCCTTGATGGTGTTGGTGATCATTTCTTGCAGCTGCTGGATAGAAAGAGATCCCATGAGTGCCGCTGCTTAGTCTGGCTCGGGCTTCGCATCGTTTTTCTCCACCTGAGGCTCATCTTATGGGTTAGGATTCTCGTCGTCCTGTGGCTCCAGTCGGCTGACGAGTGCAGCGATTTGCAAGTCTTTTTCTTCCACAGTTCGGGTTAGCCTTGCGATTGCTTCATTCATCTGAGCCAGTTGTTCTTCAACGGAGGTAACGCCGATAGTCATGACTTGTGCGACCAATAAACGTGACTTTCCTTTAGACATCCAGGATGCTGATGAAGAACGTCGTTGGCTGCTTTGGGATGTCATCTTATGTGCCTCAACATCATGCTTCGGTGCCCCCAGCGAGGTCAGGTTGATGACAGACTCACACCTTGGATGCCCCCCTTGCTCTTTTAGCGGCACCAATTTTGAAGTGGCATGTTGAGGAGCGGTTGTGGCACCAATGGATTGTCCGTTTGCGGCAGAAGTGCTTAGGATCCTTCCCTCAGTGGTTGCAAGAACGGCTTGTCCCTTGCTTGATGCCATTGACTTTGAGGTGTGCTTGGATTCCTTGAACGGAGAAAGAGATGAGAGGTAGAGATTGTCCCACCGGGCGTGCCAATTTGTGAACACGGAAAATTCCTGAAACGAAAGAGACAAGAACGACGTGCACAAACAAATATTATGTATTTGATGATTTTGGGTTACAATCTCTCTCTATTTTGATCCTCTGATTCGATCTCCGTAAGGTGTTGATTTGTGGGATGTGCGATTGATCCAAGGGCCGTCGAGGCTTGATCTTGGATGAACGAGGATGAACGGATCTTCAAGGGCTTTTGGGCTTGATCTTGAAGAATGGTGATTGACGGATCTTCAAGGGCTTTTGGGCTTGATCTTGAAGAACAGTGATGAATGGATTTCCGAGGGCTTTTGGGCTTGAACTCGAAGAACAGTGACGAACGGATCTTCGAGAGCTTTTGGGCTTGAACGGATCTTCGAGGGCTTTTGGGCTTGATCTCGAAGAACGGTGATGAACGATGAACGCTTTCTTCAAGGGCCGTCGAGGCTTGGACTTGATGAACAGAGATGAGCGGATTCGTTGATGTTGTCAATCCAAAGGGGCCGTTGGGGCTTGATCCTTGAGGATGAACAGTTGATGAACGATAAACACTTTCTCCAAGGGGCCGTTGAGGCTTGGGCTTGAAGGTGGATGATTGTTGATCCAAGGGCCGTCGGGGCTTGATCTTGGAAGAACGATGAACGAAGAACGAAGAAGGCTTTCTTGATTCTTCGGAAACCTGGATGCTTGAAAGCTTCGGAGTTTCCGAGCTTCAGAGCTTCCGAGCTTCAAGGTGTAATGTGAATTGGTTTTTTTTAAATGAATGAAATGGGCTTGTATTTATAGAATTTTCCAATGCCTAATTTTGAATATAATATCCCAGATGAAATAAGTCGTTTCTGCCAGGTGTTGACATGTGTCCTATTTGATGACTTTTCCAACTCATTTCAATTTTCGTTGAGTCACACGCTACGTGTAAAATTTATGTAATACATGAGCGTTGACACTTTGATTTATCGGTCAACATTTATTTACGAAATTTCGATGTCTACACTATCATTCCACCTATACCCTTGGGCATATTTTGTTGTGTCACCATGTGTTAGGTTATAGTTTTATTTGGAAGGTTTTACTGAAACACGTAATTTCCAATCTAGCTATAATTAAATTGGTTATTAATTAAGTCAGAAGAATTAATATACGAGTAGACTTAATTTCATTAATTAGTTCGGATGGAAAGCTAAATCTAGAAAGGAAGAAAGAAGGATAAGAAGAAGAAGAGAAATCGGCATTTTGATCCAGGTCACTACAAGAAATATGGGTACTGCACACAATAAGTTATCTGTGCCCTTTAAGGCCAAAGAGCACCAACAATTGTGTCTATAGACCAATAGCAACAGTGTAGCAACTAAAATATTGTATGTGCCCTTTATGGGCGTCACCATTTGTCAAAGAGCACAATACGGTATGCTGTGCTGAAAAGTGTAGGCACAAATAAAGGTCCTTTTGTGCCCAATTATGACAAAATTTTCAGATGACTGCTGCACCCATGTTAGCACCTTTATTGTTATTGTGCCCAATATGTCAACTATTTAAAACAAAAATTTTTAAACCGAAATCACCTACAAATTGAGATTGAGGCTAAACAAAAAATTATTTTTTTCATAAAATTAAAACAGCCCACAACCACAAGCATCTATAATATTACAATTTACAAAGATATTCACAACCATTATATATAAAAACAACTATAATTTTACATGTTCTATCCCCAACTAAAATAAAACTAAAATTATAAGGGTTTTAAGTGAATATCGGTTCTCTCAAGAATAAGAACATCAAATATTAAGGTTTTAAGTGAACCTGCACATTTCTTTTCTCATCTTCTAGTTCCAAAATTTTCTTTCCAAAATGCTGCTTGAGTGCCACAGTGTCGGACCCTTCAAAATTTACACAGAGCAACAAGAAATGAGTATGTAGTGGCTTCCAAATTTTCAAATTATGATTCTTTATCTGTATCTCATGAGCTGTTGTATATCATTCCTTCCACAGATTAATTGGTGTAATTCTGCCATGTATACATGCACTTGTTTATGATTGAAACATAAAGACTTTTGCCTGACACTTTAGTAACATTCTTATATGGATGGCAAGCAATCCTCACACAAATTAGGACAAAAAAATAGAATCCAAAGTCCCAACAATATAATTCTCACTCTTTCAAATGTAAAGAACTAAATCTAAGAATTTATCCAAACCCTAAATCTAAGAATTTTAACAAATACTTTGGCATCAATTGAGAGAATACCATATACACGGTATGTTACCTGTGGGCCACACTCAACAACATATCCAAGCTGCTCCTTCGTCCTATTTCCAGAAATAGCAGACAATTATATGAACATATATTCAAATATATTTGAAAACATTATTATTAGATCCCAGATTCTTTTGCTAGGCAGTATGTAAGTAAAAGTATCAGCCTCAAATAAATTCACCTTAGTTGATTGAAAGGTGGCTCCACAATTTCATCGAAAAGATCTATCAATGCTTTCAATCGGATTTACTCAATCCCTGTTTCTTGCTCAACTTGACAATACAGCTGCAATATGAAACCACAACCAAGGGAAGAATATCAACGTACAAACAAAGACAGTACACCTTCATAAAGGGAAACCGAAACGAAAATGTTCCATTTTGAGTTGCCTCAGTCACAGAGTTCGTTTCTGACTTATTCTTCACATTGGAATCTCTAATCAAGTTAACACCAGGAGGAAGACAAATAACATACTCTTTATGCCTCAATTCGATTTGAATATATTTGACAGGGTAATTGCTTTGTCCTCTTAACAAATTTCCATGGCAAAGGCATTCAATGTATAGCTGCACACATTAAGGGGAGGGTAAGCTGAAGCAAATGCCTTAATTAAACTTATTCTAAGAGCTTTGACAAAAAATAAACAAATGAATCATTCTAAAATCAAATATAAAAATTTATTTTTAAATAAAAGTCAAAATTAACTATTGGGAAACTCTCCGATTCTCTCACTAGAACATACTACTCTGCTCTTATCAAATTACATGTCAAAGTGAAAGAATATGAGGTCAAGAGGCCTAAACCGCATGGATTTCTCATGAAAATATACCCAGCTGGAGGATGATGTTAAGAACTTGAGTTTCACAAATTGACAGCAATAACCTATAACAAATATAGGTACATTTGTGTAGTGTACCTGGGAACAAAGCTCGGGAATGAATGACTTCAAATCAGAAATAGACAATTCATCCAAAACATGCAACTTCTCATCTGCATCATAAAAAATTTGACAGATAACTTGTAGTCTTAAGTATGATGAGTGACTCGGAGGCTTCATATTGGTGTTCTTTAACCTTCGCTTCATATCTTCTTTAACGACCTGTTAAAGTGTCAATTAGCAATGGACAAGCCAAAAGAAACAAGCAAGGTATGCAAAATCAAACTTAAACCAGACATAGAGTGGAGTGATGGAAACAAAAGGCAACACATGTACCTTAAAACGATCATCTGTTGGCATGAAACTTTTGGCAGCTGCCAACACTTCTGACAACACTTTTCACAATAACAAACAAGTAAAATTGAGCAAAATTTACCTCCATCAAGCAAAATTTAGCATCTTCCATCTTCACCATAGCAGGTGGACTCATCTAAACCCTAGCTGAACCAAACCAAAATCAAGATTACCAAAGTTAATTCCAAACGTTAATTTCTATAAAATCATACCTCAAAAGGTAAAACAAAACAAAATTGAAGGGTTTTACATGGATTTGTGAATGCAAGAATTTGAATTTCCAAAAACCACTACTGTAAAAACCCCCAAAATCCCGAAATTTATACCCAAAAAAAAAATTCCAAAACATGAAACCCTAAAAACCAAAAACCCACAAATCTGCCCTTCCTGAGGAACCATCCGAGATTCAAATAAGAGAAATCGCACAGAAGAAATTGGAGATTATCACATACCGACTTGGAAGAGGCAACCTTAGGGAGAACAAATCGTGATCTGACGATCGTATCCGCTTCATCTTCCTCGGCTCATGATTTGAATGCTTCGATTTCTTAGCCTCTTCTCCTTCTCTGGTTTTTAAGGTTCCTCTGAAATGGCGTATGAGACCTCTGAGCTTCTTCTTCTATCATCGTGATCCTGCAAGCCGCAAGATCTCTTTCTCCCTCCCTCTCCGCAAGTCGAAGGCTCTCTCTCGTAACCCATCCCCTCACCAAATCCCACACAGCCGTTGATGGAATTGGATTGTCTGCACTTCCATTTCGATGCCCTCGCCGTCCTGTTTGATGTGGTTACGGTTAAAACACGTCAATATTTTATATTAATTTTTTATAAAAATAATAAAATAAAAAGAAATAGTAATATAAAATGTTGACATGGCTTAACCGTGACCACAAAAACAAAAGGGCATGAGGAGAGCACCAAAATTGGAGGGCAGACAATCCAAGTCCGCCGTTGATACCACCGACTGCAAAAGAGAGAGGGAAATAGAAAAATTTGGGGAAAATGATAGAGAGAGAGAGAGAGAGCACAAAAAATATATTTTTACTTTAAATATATTAAATTACAGGGTACAATAATATTTATAGAGTCATTGCAAATTAATAAAAAAAATTCATTGCTGATATTAAAGGCACAAAAGTCATGGTTATGTGCCCAATAATGTGTTTGTGTCTATTTTTCTTCACATTGGGCACAATACATGGTGCTCATTACGGAATGAACAGTGTTCCACCCTATTGATGTTTAAACAAACACAAACACCTCATTTTCATCCTTAATTTTGTGCCCTAAGGCCATTTTTTCTTGCAGTGGGTCCAAAAAGCTCAAGTTGTTTTCGGAATGAGTCTAATTCTATTTGATTTTTATTATGTCCGTCTTGCCCCTGTAATACAAGTAAACGTATGTTTAAATTCCATAAATTTGAATTTTAGAATTTGAATATTACATGCCTTAACCCTCAAGCTACTTACTTTCTAATAAAATAACATTTTAAAATTTTGTATTCAATAAATATGATAAGCTTAACAAAATTTAAACAAAAACATTGTGTAAACTTGTGATGTAGATAGACAATATAATTAATTAATGATAAAGGTAAATCGGGTACAATTAATTTGTGTTATAGGTAGACTATGAACCACAACTTACGATATAGGTAGATAAACAACTACTTGAAATCAATTGTTAAAAACAACGTAATATAGGGAGATAACGTACTATTAATATGTACTAAAGATAGAATAATAATAATAAAATAAATAAATAAACTGACACATCCTGACCCGGAATGTCCATTAGGACTCCAAATCAAGTTGTGCTGGCCGACACCTGGAAGGTGACGAAGCCATAAAGTATAGTGACGTGGAAAATGTGAATAAATTTAAACTTAAAAATGCCTAAATACCAGAGTGCATGGTGAGCGAGTGTGAACCCATTTCACACGCGACGTCAGAGCATAAATAAGGTACAGTAGTGTGGGCAAGAATCATACCCTCAGAGGTAGCCACCTATACTGAGATTTTCCATGAATCCTTGTCGATACGAACTTTCAGCATCTAAAACCTGGAGGGGCGCAAAACCGAAAACGTGAGTGGGCAAAAACAAAGCTTTTTGAAACCATTTCTCTTTCCAAAATAATAATAAACCATCACCGTAAAACTCGTATAATTTTCCAGAAAATAATAATACATACTTATATAAAAATCATGCTCGAGAGTAGTGAAAATCAATTATATGCCATGGCAAGTATCTCAGCAATGATATAAGTAAGCTAGGTGAAATAAATCAATGTAAAATGATATGTCAGCCGGAGTCATCTAATGTGACCTGTACGGCTGAGCCTATAACTGATCTACCAATTCCTGCACACAAGTCGGAACCACCTAATGTGGTCTGTACGACAGGCTGGATGTAAATAGATACGCTCAAGTGTTATGATCACGTGAAGGTTGTGCGAAGTATCGTAAGTCACCTACAAGTCATAACCATCTAATATAGTATGTATGACAGACTGGCACTTGCCTTGGATCCAAGGTGAGTGTGTGGTGCAAGAGGTGAAAGATCACGTGAAGGCTAGGCCCTGGCCTCGGGCGGAGCACTAACACTGAGGTGCAGGATAATGAGCTATAAATGCATCTACATATAACCATACACAATGCAACCACTATCATCATATTGTACTCACCTGAAGCTTACCTGGGCCTCCGCATCATCATTCAATATTATGCAAAATTATACTAATGCAATACTAAAATATAATGCATCTTTGACATGGCATTTAAACCGTAAATTCATTTAAGAGCATTTTCTGGAAATCGTAAAGCGTATATACGTATATATAGAAAACAAAAGCCCGCTCACCTAGAGTTTGCGCTACAACTCTCTAGCACAAATATCGATGCGTCACAAGCGATCGGCGCCTGTGACTAAGGCCAATTTGGCCGGGAAAAGTCCCAATTTCATGAAAACCCACCGGAACCCTAAGTTTGGGTGCTTCTTGATTTGCCATCTCCGGTGCTCCGCCGCCCCTACAACTGATTGGGCTATGTTCTATGCCTCATGGGGAGTCTAATCGTGGTAGTAATAGCTTTAGAATTTTGGGATTTCTCACACGGACCCGTTGTCACATCCTAGCCTGGCCCCTCATCACATCCCGGGCTCGACTTCGCCGTAGTACGATATTGTCCGTTTTGGGCCCCAACCACGCCCTCACGGTTTTGTTTATGGGAACTCACACGAGAAATTCACAATGGGTCACCCATCATAGGATTGCTTTCGTGCGAACTCACTTAACTTCGGAGTTCCGATGGAACCCGAAGCAGTGAGTTCCCAAAAGGCCTCGTGCTAGGTAGAGATGAGAATATACATATAAGGCTTAGAAGATACACTCCCCTGGGCGATGTGGGATCTAACAATCTACGTCCCTTAGGGGCCCGATGTCCTTGTTGACATACTTCCGGCCAGCGATTGGCTCTGATACCAAATTGTCACATCCCGACCCTGGCCCCCACCACATCCTGGGTTCGATTCCACCGTAGCACGATATTGTCCTATTTGGGCCCCGATCACGCCCTCACGATTTTGTTTTTGGGAACTCACACAAGAACTTCCCAATGGGTCACCCATCATGGGATTACTCTCGCACCAACTCACTTAACTTTGGAGTTCCAATGGAACTCGAAGCCAGTGAGCTCCCAAAAGGCCTCGTGCTAGGTAGAGATGGGAATATACATATAAGGCTTAGATGATCCACTCCCCTTGGCGATGTGGGATCTACCACCCGTCACATCCACTGATGGTTCTCCACCCATTTACAGCAATTTTCTTCTAAATCTGGGGTGGAAAAAGAAGAGGGAATGGCTAGATGATGTTTGGGAGTGGTGGTTCGACTCAAATCGTCGGAAAAACAATGGATTTCGCCGTAGAAACCCTTCGACTACAACCGGATTGTGGGTCGCAAAGGTCAAAGGTTGATTATGTGCTTCTCGTTTCTCTTTTCCCCTCATTTCTTCTGCTCCTTATTCATCCAACCCCCTTTTCATTTCTTTCATTTCTTTCATTTCCTCTTCTTTTCTTTTCATCAAAGCCATCCATCTTTCATTTCTCTTTTCTTTTCTTTCATCTCAACCACACACGTGGCACCATCAGATTTTTGTTCCAAAATCTGGAGCATTCTAGAAAATAATAAATTTACAATTTTACCCTCGACTTTACTCGTTAATAACTCCTTCGTTATAACTCCAAATCACGATCCGTTTGCACCCACGCATTCGTAGCAACGAATGCTACGAGGATATGCAAAGAAAACAAGTCTTACGTGACATGACAATGTGGTTAATAAAATCAACGTATTTGCCTCAAAGGGCATTTTCGTAAATTCACATTTAAAATTATAAAAATCATAATTTTTAGGGACGGGTCATTACAAAAACTATAGAGGTAGATTAATACAAAATATTATGAGAAACTTGTCATAATGAAATATTTTGAGAAAACTTGAGATAACGCAAAATCAAGTTTTCTCAAAATATTTTTGTCAGATGTTTATGTAGACATCGAAATTTCGGTAAATAAATGTTGACCGATAAATCAAAGTTTCAACGCTCATGTATTACATAAATTTTACACGTAGCGTATGTCTAAACAAAAAATCGAAATAAGTTGGAAAAGTCATCAAACAGGACACATGTCAACACCTGGCAGAAACGACTTATTTCATCTGGAATATTATATTCAAAATTAGGCCTTGGAAAATTCTATAAATAGAAGCCAATTTCATTCATTTGAAGGAACCAAATCATTAGGCAAAATTCTTGAAGCTCTGAAGCTCTGAAACTCCGAAGCTCTCAAGCATCCAGGTTCCCGAAGAATCAAGAAAGCATTCTTCGTTCTTCGTTCATCGTTCTTCCAAGATCAAGCCCCGACGGCCCTTGAAGAAAGTGTTCTTCGTTCTTCGTTCATCGTTCTTCCAAGATCAAGCCCCAACGGCCCTTTGGATCAACAATCATCCACCAATTCAAGATCAAGCCCCGACGGCCCTTGAAGAAAGTGTTCTTTGTTCCACGTTCATCGTTCTTCCAAGATCAAGCCTCGACGGCCCTTGGATCAACCATCCACCAATTCAAGATCAAGCCCCAAAGGCCCTTGAAGAACTTCCACCAATTCAAGATCAAGCCCCGATGGCCCTTGAAGAAAGCACCATCGTTCATCATCCGTTCATCCAAGATCAAGCCCCAACGGCCCTTTGGATCAACAACGTCGACAAATCCACACATCCAACCGTTCTTCAAGATTAAGCCCAAAAGCCCTTGAAGATCCGCTCATCACCGTTATTCAAGATTAAGCCTCAACGGCCCTTGAAGAAACACTCATCCTCAAAATCAAGCCCCAACGGCTCCTTGAAAATTCGCTCAAATCCACCTTCAAAGATCAAGCCCACGACCCTTGAAGAAACTTCCAACAGTTCATCCAAAATCAAGCCTCGACGGCCCTTGGATCAACGAAACATTCACAAATCAACACCTTACGGAGATCGAATCAGAGGATCAAAATAGAGAGAGATTGTAACCCAAAATCATCAAATACAAATATTTGTTTGTGCACGTTGTTCTTGTCTCTTTCGTTTCAGGAATTTTTCGTGTTCACAGTTTACTTATTATATTTTCTTGGGTAATTTTATCTCTCATTACTTAACTAGTGTGTTTTACCAAAACATTGGGTTACAAGTGAATGCCACAAAATCTAAAATTGGGCCTTCCCCAAATCGGGGATTTCCTTCCCCATTAAACCCGTGCTTCCA